GTTTTCTTCTTTGAGTTGCTTATTTTCTTCTATTAGATTAGTCTCGCCACCCAATTGTTCTTCTAATTGTTTTTTCTCTTGTTCTAATTGAATTAACTTTTCCGGAGTAGGTAATTGACTTTTTTGTTCTTTTAATAGTTCTATTTCGGCTTGCAAAGGAATGATGGTGATTATTTCTTTTAATTTTTCCTGACGAGGATTTTGCGATTGATATTGGACTTGAATAATGTATTCGGATTGTTCAGAGTTATAATTAACTGTGACTTTAATAACTAATCTCTTTAATTCTTCCTCATTTGGATTTTTGCTTAATTCTTCACTAATTAATTCGACTAATTCCTGTTTAATAATTTGTCAAGTTTTATTTACTATTTCTGAGCTTACTACAATCTGACTAATTTGATTATCAATAATATCCTCTAAACTAGGATAATAAATAATTAAAAATTCCTTAATTTCCAGTTTTTCAGTAGGAAAAGTAGCAGGATTTAATAATAATTCAAATTCTTTTTTATACTCCTCGGTTAAATTATTTTTTATTCAGTTTAATTCTTCATCAAAATGTTGTCAAAATAAAGGATTTTTGTCATAGCTGGCACTATTTAGAGAGGTTAATTCTTGGGCTAAACTTCACAATATTAAATTAGAGTTAAAATTTCCCTGTTTATCTACTCTTTCTAATTGAAGATAAATAGTATATACTCCTTCTTTTTCTTCCCAGGTTGCGTTTTTATTTTCTAACTTCTCCTGGGGTGCTTTTTCTGTGGCAAAATAAATACTAATCTGTTTATTATTTTGATTGGCAAATAATTCAATTAATTTCCTTATTTCTTTAACTAATGCTTTTTTTTCCTTATTTTCACTAATTCCTAATTCTTCTCAAAGTTTTTTTTCTTCTTCGTTATCTTCTTTGGTTTCTAGTCAAATTACTTCTTTTAGATTAATTAAACCATTTATATTTAATTTAGTAAGAGGAGTTTTTAAAAGTTGAAGATTAATTTTTAGCTTTTCTAAATTAGTAAATTCCTGTAAATTTAGTTCTCCTCCTGCTACTTCTTCACTAATTTGCGAAAAAATAATTTCTTTTAGCGTTTCTTTGTTTTCTGAAGTAGAATATTTATTATTTAAGTATTCTTGTAAAGTATTCATGACGAAAAATTCAATGTTTTTTTCGCCCTCGGTTTTTATATTAATTTTTAAGGAAATGATTTATTTTTTTTTTAGTTGCTTTTCTAATATACTTAGCAATAAACCAAACATGAAACAAAAA